GACCTTTATATTGGATAAATTCAAAAAACTTAAATAAGTCGAAACGCTAAGGCGTAATCTTAAAATGGAGGGCGTTTTCAAAATCTACGGCTCCGGAAACATAAAAGTAGACCTTTATATTGGATAAATTCAAAAAACTTAAATAATTCAAAACGCTGTGGCCTGATTGTAAAATGGAGCTTATTTTCATAATTTACGGCTCGGAAAACATAAGAATACACCCTTGTATCGAATAAATCAAAAAAACTTAAATAATTCGAAACGCAGTGGCGTAATCTTAAAATGGAGGTTATTTTAAAAACTAGGTACAGGACAGCATAATACTAGTCCCTAATAAATCCAAATAGGTACAATAAATCGATATCCGTAAGTGAAAATTCTACTTAGGAGAGCATAATAATAGACTTTCATATTGGAGGGGGGGAGGGGATTGCCATTATTTAAAAAAAATATAAAATTTACAAAAAATTAAAACGGTTGACTCTGACTTGGAAAAAGTTTAATTTGATCTGGAAAAGGTTGAATTTGACTTGGAAAAGGTTGAATTTGACTTGGAAATAATTGAATATGACATAGAAATATTACACTGAAAAAATCTAAAATGTTAAAATAAATGGATCTGCAACCGCGTTATCAAAATTTTTTTTTGCATTTTTCAAAAGCTATGCCTTCGATAATATAGTAAGTGGCCTTCATTTAGAAAAAAATCGAAAATTGACAAAAATTGGAAAGTTGAATTTGAAATTGAAAAGGTTGAATTTGACTTGGAAAAGGATGAATTTGAAATGGAAAAGGTTTAAGTTGACTTGGAAAAGGTTGAATTTGATTTGGAAAAGGTTGAAATTGACTTGGAAATGCTATATATCACAAGAACAGGGCTACCGGTCATACAGCATGTTCCGGGCCCTCCAAAATTGTACATATGGTGCCCCGGGTGAGGAATACTTGTGAATGAAAACATTGTTAACATAAGCCTATCAATTTAATTACTTAATTAAGTTTCATGATTAAATTTAACTCTCGGTTATTTTTTTTTATGTTGAATTAATTAATAGCTTTCAATATTAACGGCATTCTTTAACACCAATGTTGCTATTAATTAACATAATATTAACAAACGCCTTAAACAGCCAGCAGGTGAGTTTCTCTAATACCATTTGAAGCAACATTTATGGCTGCCTAATTCCATTAAGCACAACAATTATGCTTATTTCCTATGCTCTAGTGTTTCCTTTCCACATATTTTAAGTCTCCAGCATCCAAATAACAACAGATCTTGCCATATAATTATAGATTTATAATTGTATTTAATTAATGAGTATTACATTGTTTGAGCTATCAGCTTGAATGTATTTAACGTGATCTGGGTTTAAAAGAAAAAAAAAATGAATTTTTTTATGAAGGTTCATAAATGTGCGAATAACATACATACACAATAATATACGTGCAGAATATTAAAGCATGTAACAGTTCTTATTAAAATTGTTGCATCATTATTAAAATTGCTGCATTTTAATTTATAAACAATTTTATCAAACTTTATTTATATATATTTTAATTGTTTAAATATTTTTTCATATATTTATTGATTTTTATATATATTTATTACCTTATTTTTCACGCATGTTTAATTTATTGTTACAAATATTTATTTAGTTGTATATATTTCATTCGTTCATATGAATAAATATTTATTTAACTGTTTATATTTCATTAGTGCATATGCATAAGTATTTATTTGATTGCTTATATTTCATTCTTTTATATCCATAGATATTTATTTAATTATTTATATTTCATTAGTTTATATGGATAAATATTTATCTTTCATTCATTTATTTATGGATGGATATTTATTTAACAGGTTATCTGATAATTTATTGTATCTTGCGTTCACGTTTAGTCTTTAAATATCTTTCACAATTTTAATATTTTGTTAAATATATTCAATAGTTATCTTCTCAAATTATAAATTCACAAGGAACCATGGGTGGCGGTAACGAACAGGTTAACAACTTTTCTGGCCTGTCACCGTAGCGTAAGCTTCGCCATCTCAAGCGCAGTCTCAACAAATTATTTATCCAAGCCGCGGATATTGGCGGTGGGGACTTCTTCGAATACGAAGTAATTTATAAGGAAGCAAAACAAATGTGGGATAAATTTGAAATTCTATGGGAGGAGTTGGATGTGCTCTACACCTTCCAGGGTGCTTCAGCCTACCTGCCTGACTGGGAAACGGCCTATGACGCCATTCAGGGGGAAGTACATAAAATAGAGGTGGGATATCAGAGATTAAGCTCATATTGCACCACGGTTGATAATAACGCCAAGTCTGGCTCAACCCCCTCACTTTATCCGCCTCAACTTTCGATCATAGAGGTACTGGTTTTCAACGGGGATTTGTCGACGTGGACGCAGTTACGCGACACCTACGTGTCCTTGATCCACGACAGCGCCCACTTGACGCTGATAAGTAAAATGCATTACTTGAAAAATGCGCTTATAACATGGCGTTCTCTTTCAATTCCGGCTCATACCAGCTGGTGTGGGACTCGTTCTCACGTCACAGTGCCTCCGGAGAATTCCTGATCATAAAGGCTCTGCTTCTGGCAGCGAATATTCGAATATTCGGCTGTGGGTGAAAGTATAGAGAGCTTCCGGGAGTTGGCTATGGAAAACGAAGGGGAAGTCATCATGTCCACCTTGGCTCTCCACGCGTTGGATCCGGTCACTAGACGGCAATTGGAACTCTCACACGCGAGTAACGAGTTCCTTACCGCGGATAAGGTCGTCGCTTTCGTGAGGCATCGGATGATGTCCTCCAAGATGGCCTGCGAATTCGAGTATGCTCTCTTCGGACCTTCACGCACCCAGCACTCGGATAGGAGGAAAGCTGGTCCTCCATTTAACTCTCCTTTTAAGCGAACAGTCTCGGTTAAGAACTGTAAGAGTGCAACCATACGCCAATGTTCGCGTGAAGGATCTCCGCAGAGAAATTCCACTTCTCCCATTAAGGACCCCGGCCCACACTGCAAAGGAAGGCTTCCACTGGAGAGGAGTTTCAGGTTTGTTTACCTCATGACAAATAAGTTTGTTTTCCTCAGTAGCATTTCCCTGCTTAGAAATAATGAAGTCTTTACTAAGATGTCAACGCGTGATTTACGTATAATTTTGTTTTACGAGTTTAAACTCGGCTGGAATTGGGCCCAGATAACCAGAAACATCAATCAAGTCTGGGGTGAGAGCAGCATTAAGAGTGCACTGTTCAACAGTGGTTCAAAAAATTTCGGGAGAGAGACTTCAGCCTTGAAGACAAAGAAGGTCGTGGAAGGACTTCCTCTCTTGATGACGATGTTCTGCGGGCTTTGGTGGAAGAAAGCCCCAGAACAACTGTTCGAGAACTTGCAGGGAAACTTAACCTTAGTGACCGTCGATGAGCACCTAAAGGCGATGGCAAAGGTAAAAAAGCTTGAAAGTTGGGTTCCACACACATTAAATGACAGCCAGAAAAACAACCATTATGAAGTTTGTGCTACACTTCTTTGCCAAAACAAAAACGACCCTTATCTGTCCAGAATTGTTATTTGTGATGAAAAGTGGATACTTTACAATAACAGTAGATGTTCTGGACAGTGGCTCGACAAAGGAGAAGCAGCAGAACATTTTCCAAAGCTCCCAACTCATCAAAAAAAGGTGATGGTTACTGTTTGGTGGGCTTCATTTGGTTTGATACACTACAGCTTCTTAAATCCTGGAGAAACCATCAATGCCGAATCGTATTGTAACCAAATTAATGCAATGCATCAGAAATTGGCAATAATGAAGCCATCTTTGGTCAATCGGAAGGGCCCATTTTGTTGCATGACAATGCCCGGCCACATGTCTCACGTGTGACGTCACAAAAACTGTTGGAGCTTGGATATGAAACTCTGCCACATCCGCCCTACTCTCCGGACCTCTCGCCTACGGATTATCATTTTTTTAGACACCTGGACCACTACTTACGTGACAAAAACTTTAATGGACGAAGGGAATTTGAAAATGAGTTTTTGGAGTTTATCAATTCTAAAGATGGGAAATTCTATTTCGAGGGAATGGAAAAGTTGCCAACACGGCAGAAATGTATTGATAGTAGTGGAGACTATTTTGATTAAATGAAACAGCTATAAATTTTTCTTTTTAAACCTAAATCCTGCATTATTTTCCGTACAATAGAACATTATGAGGAGATCTAGGCAAGTCGGAGTTCAGGCATTCCTTGTTCTGGAAGCTGCTGTTAGACGAATAGGACTTATTGTGAATGAAGCTAAAACCAAGAAGTTGGTATCAAATCAAGCTCTGAGATTGAAAGGTGCAAGAGTTTGTTTTAGGCTCTACAGGTTTGAGAGCAGGTCTAAGAGTTTATCTACCTGAGATCAATGGTAATGTGTAACAATGATGTTGCTGTGGAGATTAGGAGAATATTGGCTGCCAATGGCTGCTATTTTGGACTACAGAAGCATTTATCCAGCAATTTGATAATTAAGCGAACAAAACTTATTTATAGGACTCTCATTCGTCCAGTACAATGTGGCATGGAGTCACGGTCTACAATCAGATCTATGAGAATACTGAATGGAGGCAGAGAAACAATCAGGAGCTATATTATGATCTATATCAGAAACTGGATACCTCCTGTTTTATCAAGCTTAGAGGACTCAAATGCATCTGATATCTAGCCAGAATGCCTGACGATCTACCTCTCAAGATAATCTGATCGAGCCCCTTTTTAGTTATCGCAGAGTTGGAATACTCAAGCTGTGGAGGGCAGATTGTATAACCTATGGCACAAGAAAATTTTCAAATGTGCAAAATTGGATGGTTTGGCACAGAATAGACACTGTGCTCTTGCTGTTGGAGGAAGCCAGGACAGTTTATAGATTGTAGTGCTATTAAAGAAGAAGTAAGTTTAAGACATCAATGAATTCTAAATGTTTAATGAAATATTCTTCATCATTTACCAATATTGCCAAATATGATTCCATTTTCAGTAGATGCAACCTTCACATTTGCTTTAATGTTGCAGAAATCATAAGGAGCTAGAACACAAGGTTGAGGTTTTTCGACAAGCTTCAGATCACCAAGAGTTGCTAGTTCAAGCGTACAGTTTTGAAGTGTATCACCTAAAAAAATAATACACAATAGTTAATCAATTATATTTTCTTTTGTCATTACCATATGCCTAGTACCGGATGTTTAACAGTTCAATCTACCAATTTATTCATTACTTTTACTAACTATCTATTTATTTTATTTTGACTTATAATCTTAATTCATAAAATGTTGATTGCAAATAAAAAATTCTAATTAAATTAAGTAAAAGATAACACATTAATTTGAAAAATAAACAAATTCGGACTACCTGTTTGATTAACGATCAAAACATCAAGTACAATGTCATACTGGTTGACATGAACATATGCTTCTGCATAAACTGGATCTGAAAACCCTGTCAGCTGAGTTACTTTATTCAATTTACTGGCTGAAAATGGAAGTTCAGCTGTGTTTGTAGCTGTATTTGGCCCCCCGACAGCTTGATTTAAACTAAGCTCAAAAACATTTTCTGAACCAAAATCAGATGATCGTATCGTTGATAATTGTAAAAATGATACAGGATCATCAACTTGGATGGTATGGACGGATTTTTCTTTGGCCTAGAAAAAAAAAAAAAAAAACAACCTTAAAATACTTGATATAATGAAAAAAAAAAAAAAAGACATATTGAGAGAGTATAAACTATAGATAAAGTTCTGTAGTTTTACTTTGAAGCAAAATAATCAAAGATTACATCTTCAGAATAGTTATTATAATCATCTGGAAACCTCATAAAACTTATGATAACATTAAAAAGATACCTGTAAAAACATGTATGATAATTGTATGCATATCAATAAATATTTACAATATTGTACTAATTACAGGCTACAAAATTGAGAATAATATGTATCACTAAGTAAAACATAAGTAAAACCACTGAACATAAAGTATTATATAACCTTTAAGAAAGAAGTCCTCAACTTACTTCTACCAATGGGTACATGTCTAGGTTATCTGTAAGATGACAAGTATCACTTATCTCCTCAGTTTTATCAAAGTCAAATATTATTAATAAAATTAGAAAAAATAAATAGAAATTTCAGCATATGGAAGACATTATATGATTATATTCATAAATAAAATGAATAATTATTTAATAATACATTAAAAAATATTAAAATATGTGAAATTTTGTAATAAGAAATAGATCTTTGCACTGCATTTGAATATGAATATGAATAATATTTTATTTTACATTAAAATTGTGATTGATTCACACTTTTTTTTTTTTTTCCTGCTCCATCTCTGCCTGCCTTGTACTATTTCTTTCCAGTTATCTGCTCGCAGCTCTATTGCATCTTTATTGATTCTGTCTATCCATCTGCTTTTTGGCCTTCCACGAGGTCTTTTGCCTTCTATTAAGGTTACATAAAGGCTTCCAGATGGATTGCTACAAGTTACATGACACGCCCATCTTAATCTCCATGTCTTCATATCATGGGATATTGATTGACCAGTTTCTGCTGTAAGCAGGTGTTTATTGGTCTTTCTTTTCCATGTGTTAGTACTCTAATCCCAGATTGCTCCGGGTATTGATTTACACGTCATGGGATTAAAATATAGGAACTAATTTGAAACAATGAAATAAGAGACTGGCTTAAGGGAATATTATAAATAGGGATAAGATATGAAAGCAATGTTACCAACAATGTCATTTAATTCTTGTTACTAAGGAAGAAACAGAATAATAATGCAAATTGACTTAAAATACTATGATATCCCAACAAATTGTAATTTTTAAGCCAATAAGCCTATATTTCTAATTAGAATATTGGTTAATTATATAATTACATCATATTTAATAATTCTTGAGAAATTGTTGAACAGCAGCAAGCCACAAAAAGAAATATCTGGCTGCCAGAAAAGCAGGTTACATCTACATGTGAACCCAGTGAGCACATGGTTGGGGATTCCTGGATTTAGAGGTAGCTATGCAATTTTGAACTCAAACCAAAAAGGAAATTTTGTTCTTGGTGTAAAAAGTATACTTGAAGGATACCAGTAAAAGTCATAAAACAGCATATTTAAAATCTGAGATAGTTTAAGGATATACCTTAATAAGTGAGTACTCCTCATTCTGTTGAGCAACTAACATATTAGCAAGAGCATTGCGACAATCAGTGTTGAAAATTTTTACAATAGGTGCATTATTTTCAGAGAGAACCTTTAGACAAAGTAACATTCGTTCATAATCATCATAGCTCAGCTGTTTCGAAGGATATCCTGAAAGGAAAAATAAGCTTATCAGTAAATATTATAGTTACAGCAAATGTTGACATTATCATTTACTGAAGCTTAGATTTTTTTAAAGATGATTTATATATAAATATAAATATATATATTTAATTGATTCAAAAAATGATTAATTTTTTTTTAAAGTAAAAAATTTGCTTTTTACGATGATAAATATAAAAACGTTTTAACAAGTTTAAGCAAAAACTGTCCAGCATAATGTCAAGCAAACTTATAGATTTACATTCCTCAGACAATTGGAAGTATAGGTTGTGAGGAATTTTATCTTTTCTTTCTATCTCTTTCATCAACTCAAGGGGATAAGTACTGGTACTGCTACCATTTGGTATCATGATATCATGCTTAGGTAGGAAACCAACCTAAATGACTATCTTGATATTGCCACAGCATACTTACCCGAGTGGCAGTGTCAAGATTCATTTACCAGATTTTGTAGCCTGCAACAATAGTAGAGGGAATAAAGTATGAAATAAATCATAAAGAAATAATCAGTTTTTATGCCCTCTTGTAAAACACTTGATTTTTACATATGACCTATAACAATAACAGTAGCAATATATGGTTGACTGCTGAAATTGTAAGGATAAAAAACAGTCAGGTCATGCAACCAATAATCGTGTTTATTAAGTTAGCCGACGATAGTTCATCTTTCATCATATTCGTCATCTTCTTGACTACCTGTGAAACGTCGACTAACTTAATAAATACGATTATTGAGTGCATATTCTTATTTATTCTATAGATTATTCAAACTATTGACTTTCAAATACAAATAAACTATATTTCTTTTAAATGTGAACTTCTTATTAAATTATAACACAAGAAAAAAAAATGCTCACCAGATTTACCCAGACGAACTATAGATGAAATGATTAGCATACACTCAGCAAAAAATTTATGGTACATATTTTCCTGCTGAACAAGCTCTTTATAACGTAATGCTAATTTCACAAGCGTAGAAGCCACAGATACACCAATAAAAAAGTCTCCATCAATCAAGTATTGTCTGAGAGGAGGTCGATCCTCTTTTTTAATTGCCCTATAATATTAGCATGACTTTAAGACAGTATGATAGCACAAGTAATTACTAAAGTTTTACAAATCATCAAAGTAAGAAAAAAATAATAATAATAACACACTTTAAAATATAGCATTTACATTTAAATATTTATTTTAAAAACTTGTTTAAAAACTTAGTAAATAACCGAAAAAGGTATAGTACTATATTATATTATCAAAAAAGAGTAGATATTGATTAGATAATACATTAGGTTTTGAAGGTTCTATGAATGAATATTACTCCACATATCAAATAATCAACTAAATAAAGAATTTCTGTGAAAAAACAAATTAACTTGAAAATATCAATATTATTAATAGTTACTGCTGTGTTATAAATTCATCATAATAATTATGAATAATTAACAAACAATAAATACTGTCAACAATTTTGCTTTAGGAAGTTAAATTTCAAGATTTAATTACATTAAGAAAATTTCATGTCAGTGATAATGAAAAAATAGAACTAGAATGATAGATTTTTTCAGGATGAAAACAGATCAAATACTACAATACTATTCTTTAAGAAATACAAAATACCTGGAAGCACATAAGATCATTAACAAATCAAGAAACGTAAATATTGTAACCAAACATAAACAGAGTACATAGCAAGATAAAATTATTTGTGGTACTTGAGTAAAGTAAAACCACTTTAAAATTAATTATTTATATTAAAGTAATGCAACCTGCCACCAAATACCAAATGAACTCAATTGAAAATTAATACATACATGCAAATAGAGAAAAAATATACACCACTTACCTTTTATGTTTTCTGGTCTTATATTGAACAATTTTATAAGTTTTCTTTTGAGGACAAGTTGGAACAGGTTTCTTTAGATTAAGTTTAGTTCTAGAGAAAAAATAAAAATAAGAGAAACATAACTTCTAATTGATAAAAATGCTATTATTGATAGGATGATCTAAAGAAATAGAAAAATATTTATGCCCAGAATGATTAATTTTTCTAATCAAAGAAAAAATGTTACAAATATTAGAAGCCAAGGACGAAAATATGTTTATTTTATTTTTTTTAAAATAGTACATTTGTTCTTATGGGAGAGTTTCGAGGTAATGGAGCATGGGGTTGAAAATGAACTAATTTTATGGCAAGGAATACACTGGGTGTCTCAGTTCTAATGGCCAAACTCTGGGGGGTGATTCTAGACAAAATTTCCAAAAAAAAGTTCATTTGATGCATGGGCCGATTCCGAATGGAAAGCAAGTGTTAAGATCAATTTCATGTTTATCTTAAGGTGGCTATGTTTCTTCTTATTGAATAAGAAGGAATTGCTAAAAAACACCTCAAGATAATTAAAATCTAATTATACCATTGTAAAATAGGCAAAATATCCTTTAAGAAAACAGTGATTAAATTTACTAAGGTGCAATGATAAAAGAGACTTTCAGGAGGTCTAATAACGCAAAGCCTAACATTATACCGAATTATTTCACAATTCGGGATTACAGAGATATACTGCTCGGATAAGGGTACTGAAACTGAAGCAGTACAACGGCCGTATTAGATCTCTTGAATGTCCCTGTTTTCATTGACCTTAGTAAATTTAATCACTGATTTCTAAATATATATATATATATATATATATATATATATATATATATATATATATATATATATATATATATATATAAATATATATATATATATATATATATATATATATATATATATAATATATATAAATATATATATATATATATATATATAAATATAAATATATATATGTTCTACTTAAAGATGCTGTACTTAGAATTTAATTATCTTGTACAGTTTTTGAGCAATTTCTTCCTATTCAATAAAAACCATAACTACCTAAAGTAAAACACAAAATAGGTCTAACTCCTTTTCCGTTTTGAATCAGCCAACGCATCAAGTGAACTTTTTTGTTGGAAATTTTGTCTAGAATCACCTCACAGAGTTTGGTTATTAAGAACTGAGACACCCTGTATAAGGCTTAACAGGGAAATAAAAACAACTGGTAAATTAAAAGGCAGAAAAGAGTGGATAAGCAAAAACTAACCAAGACTACAGGAAACTTAAGAAGAAACAACTGTAAAAATCACATTCTGTCTACTCATGTACAGGATCGTACAAGAATCTAAGTATATTGTAATTGGGAAAAATCAACTTAAAATACTATAGCGAGATTGGCAAATATACTATAAAATTTATATTGAAATAGCATAGTTTTTTTTTTTTTTTTTTTTTTTTTTTTTTAACTTCGGATAAGTATTAATGGTAATGTAGGTAAAGGAAGGTGCTGGCCCCATTACCTATTCAAAGTACCATAAATAACCACTAGTCCTCTAGGTTAAGGGAATAGTACACTGATACTTACACAGTACTAAGGGTTGTTTGTAGACAACCCAACCCGACCTGACAAGTTGGGTAGGGAGGTAGGAAACTTATTTAGTGGAATGGGTATTAGGTGGACTATCCTTCATACATCTGACCCCCCTCCCCAATACTTCCCCCTTACTTATAATATGCCACATGCTTTTTCTAATGTGTTCCCACAATACTGAAGGGCGGAAGGGTGGTCAGGTCGGGACATCTAAACACGAATCAATCGCTGGTGATGGGGAGTACAATGTCAACTCTCCTAACCCCCTATTAAACCTGTCGGGCCAATACAGGGTCAAAACAGCACACTACACTCACCCCCAGATTACAGACCATGGTCCCATACAGTAATCACACCAGGGTCACCTTTTTTAAATAGCAATCATGGATAGGGAAGTGTACCAGAGCACTCTAGAGAACAGTTGGCTGATAATCTATCCCCCTCCCCTAAATAACCTTATTAGGAAACCTCAACATCAATGTATAAACACAGAGTGTGTATAAAGAAATAATATAGCACCCATCATTTGGTCTTCATCTTTGGATAGGAGAATATTTCAACTCTATACAGACTTGGAGTAACTAAACTGCTCTTAGATGAAACAGATCTTACCAGGGTGTCCAGCGATTCTCCTCCAAAAAATTACCCATTTCCCGTTTTTTTTAGATTTTTCCTAGTTTTTTCAAATTGTTCCCTTTTTCCAGATTTTCTAGTTTTTACCCCGTAAATACCTCTGTTTTACATGAGGCGTTGGTTTTAAGACAGGTTACATTGATTGGTTGAAAAATTTTATTTATTTTTTTCACAAGTTTTTAATGTTTATTTTTATAAAATTAGACGTATTTGTATCAAACCCGTTTATATATTCAAAAAATCAATACTAAAAAATTCGATTTCCTATCAAAAGTGTTTCTTATACAACCTTTTTTGATCGGTTCAGAAGCTTTTTTGAAAATGGATGTAATCGATTTTGAAAACAAACGCCTCAAATAAACAATAATGAGTACAGCTGCCTAAGGTGTAATGTAAGCTCTTATCGCAACGTATACTCATGTTACACTTTTTATTTTATTTCATGTAAAGTATATTCGAGTACTGGTCTGTACATATAAATGGGAGTTCTGGAAACGTCATACATATAAATTTTTATTATTTTTTAAAGGGAGTACCTGTATATCAAATAGCTTTTGTATTTAAATTTAATTTTTTTTATTTTTATTTTTCCCTGACGGGAGGGCAGGAGATCAATGCCAGAGTTTAAAGCCCCTACAGCACCAGCACAGAAACTAATAATTATTATATCTTTTAAACATCCGTTTATCATGATGTCAGGCAACCAGTCTTTTGCATACTAGTTAGCCCACTCAGCCTCTCCGCTCCATATTTAAATTGAGTTGGAGTTTGAGAAGTGAATTTTGGCACTAACCATTTTTTCACTTTTTAACGCTTTGTGCATTTCTATGGACTATAGAGGGGCCCTCTTAGTTAATGTATCGAGCTAGAAATTTGTAAATTGTATTGATCTGAAAAAAGTTCCCTCTAAACTCTCAAAATTTTTCCTTCACCCCCTCTACCAAATAATAAAATGTTCAAAAACAAAACATAAAAAAGATATTTGACAGCTTAAATGATTTAAAAAATATTTAAATTCCCAGGAAAGTATTTATATATCTATTATCAAAACCAAAATAAAGGAAAATATTACCTGAATGACGCTGATTTATTGTGCACTTCTAATTATTTTTTAAATGTTTTAATCAATTATTTAACGCTTTGTCTAAGCGGTTGAATAGTTTTTAAATAGTTAAATTGTTCAATATTTTTTTTTTATTTATTCATGATATTTACAACTGTATTAAAAAATTAAATACATTAAGTAAATTTGATAACAGAAATAATAACATGAAATGACTTGTTGAGAAACTACCCACTGGTAGCACTCTAAAAATTGTTCAATATATGAACTACAAGAAATACAAGTAAATTGTCCAAAATAAGAATAGTTCAAACTACTTTCTCACAAGGGACACTTTGCATTCATGACTGAGATTAAAACATTTTTTGTGCCCAGAATCGTAAATTTCTATTCGCTTATTACCTTTTAGATATCAAGGAACTGATTTGCTTCCTTATCCTGTAGTCAACTCCATGTGATGGGTAAATCAACTACCACCAATATTCATGGAAGTTTCAGAGATTGAGCGGGTTGTTGTCTAGACGGTTCTATATAAATATAATCCAATTCCACCCCACACTTTTGCTAACAAGCACTTAAATGTATTTTCTTAGATATGCCTATATTTCAGATCCTGTTCCTATTTCATATCCTGTTCGATTTAGCACAAAGCTAGAAGAAGGTTGGGTGCTAGTGAAAAAATGATACTATATCAATCTTACTGAATTCCATCTACTAATTTATATATGTGGAAACGTATTTTTGTTTTAAACACCTGTTTGATTTGGCTAAAATTTGAAGGAAAGTAAAGGATTGATAAAAAAATTATCAAGTAGGTAACAATGTTATCAATTCCATCCATTACATTCACAAAATACATTTGCTTTCGAATCTGCAAACACATGCCTAGAGCTTGAAAACAGCTATTTTGATTTGACACAAAGTTAGAGAAATTTGAAGAATATTGCAAAAATTGTCTAGTATCAATTTCATTAAATTCCATTTTACAATTAAAATTAATATAAATAACAGTTAAAATAATAAGAAAATTATAATAGCTGCAAAATTTGATAGGAACTTAATATATGGAAAGGGATCACATACATGCATTTTTGAACTAGTTATTGTTGAAAAGTAAAACGTAGTATCAATAAATTTTAAGTATGTATAAACCTTCTTTTTGTGTACTTTTTAAACTACACTCATATTCTTATAATCCTTCTCTAATTAGTTTTGATCTGACTAATGAAAAAAATTGGTTTCGTTAACACCAAACAAACATAAAATTGAATTTTTTCAATGAATTTTTGTTCCATCTATTTTAGGAATGAAAACATACTTATAAGTACATAAACATGTTCGTTCAATGTGCAAATACAAACAGTAATAGGAATCGTTTCATTTTGTGATTTTTTTGTAATCAAGAATAGTACAATATGCAATCCACAAATGTGGAACTCATCTGCATTTTTGCATTCGTTGATCCTGAAGATTGGTTTCTCTTTATCAAATCACTTTCTCAGTTATCAAATCAAGATTACTGTACTTCGAAAACACTTTCTCCTAAAGATATTATTCTCAAATGAAAAATTATAAACCTAGAGAAACAGGTAATGTGCAACCAATGAAAATTGTGAGGAAGTGGCCTTAATTGGCAGAGGTTTTTATCTTATTAAGAATCAAAAATTTGTCCGAACTGTGTTTCGGTTAGTTTATTTTATGTTGATGAAAAATAATACAATCTAAACTAGAAAATACATGTAAATTACAGTTATACAATTCGAACGAGTAGTACAATTAAATGTACAGTTG